TTTAGTAACAAAACCAAAGCATGTACCTTTTATTTTCTAAAAGAAATAAAGAATGGAACCATATTAAAGCAAAGGAACAAGTAATTGTTTCTTCTTTTCCCCACATTCTTCTTCTCACTAAAGTAGTAAATGAGTCATCTTTTTCTTCCTTGTTTGTCACCTATAAAGACCAGAAAACTGAGCACTGCTTTTTATTGGCCAGAAATACGTTCTCTATCCATTATTCTCATTGATACCACTCTCTCTTTTCTCACTTCAAAATTTCAGGTCAGGAAGTATAAGGGTCTTAGTGACATAAGGTGTGGGAAGTGAGGATGTAGAACCTCTGGCAAAACCCTGGGAGATGAACATCCCAAAGGCAGAGACACTCTAGATTCTAAAGGATGCAAGAAGTTTAAAGTTCATGAGATAAATCTTCACAATAGAATATCAAAGTAGTTTGACACAGAACTACAGTCTCTGTAAACAGTGGAGTAAAGCAATGTGCCCTGGGCTCATTGGCAGTGAAGATAAAGAAAGGTTGGAAATAAAAGAAAGGCAAATATTTATCAAACAAATACAAAGTGAAAAGCAAGGATGGAAATTTTAATTCCAGACAGAATAGAATTCACAGCCAAAAGCATTTAAAGGGGCAAAATTTGGCAGGAAATGTAATTCTAATAAAGATCAAGTAGTCACCAATAGTTATACATCTAACTATGCAACATAAAATTAGAAAAAACAAAAACCATTTGAAATACGAGGAAAAACTGAAGGAAGTACAATTGTTTGGAAGGTTTACACCACATTCTCACCTCTTGTAGAGCAGGTAAATAGAGAAATCTAGGAAAACAGAAAGGAAATCATAAGTGCTGTTAAGAGATGAGTAGTCAGAAGTTTCAAACGTTGCCATCAGCTCATGATCTGGAAAAGGAGATAATGTTCTTCATTTCCAGAAATTCAGTACTGAGGGTCCTACGAATATGCCATTAGCTAGGGCCAAAGGAATTACAATCTTTTTTTTGTTGTTTGTATCAATATGATGAGAACAGAAACTGTGTGCCCTTCAGTAACTTTTATCTATTAAGAAATTCTTATGGATTTGACCCTGGGAATTTCCAAAGCAGATTAAGAGTACTGATCATCTGCAAGCTAATCTACTCACTTAGGCAAATTAACATATAATTACCTGGATTATTCAGATACACTTCAAATCCTATGACATTGACACAAAAAATGGCTTCTACTCGCTAAAGTTATCAAAAATAATCCTAGGGTAATTGGAGGTCTGCCTGATCCTGAAGCTGTGACAGGTTATTCCCTAAAGTGAACAAAACTGAGGAAACAACAGGGGGGTAAGAATGACTTGAGCTCATGTTGAACACTGATGAACAGGAACAGGAAAACCAAACTTGCTGTTTAAGACTAAAGGATCATGATCAGGTGCTAAGCCCAGAGGGTCATAAACTGGATAGCCATCATACCAGAATAGGAAACAAGACTAGGAAATACATCAAAGCTAAGAATATTCTCTCCCTCTCTTCCTCTTTCCCTCCCTCCCTCCCTCCCTCCCTCTCTCTTTCCCTCCCTCTTTCCCTCCCTCTCTCCTTCCTTCCTTCCTTCCTTCCTTCCTACCTCCCTTTCTTCTAAACCTCCGCACAATCTATTTTTAAGACCTTAGTTCTTAATTATATCCACCTTGGGTTTTTATCTCAAAACACAATCACACAGACAACTCTGTAGTGGATTTTCTGGCTTGGATGCCTGGTAGACATAACAGATTCAAAATAATCCAACTCTAAAATCTTGGTCCTCTTCTCCTTGGACTTGTCTATGACTCAGACTTCCAATCTAAATAAATAGTACCATTATTCACCTAAAAAAATAAAGCCAAAGGGGCCAGCGAATGAAGCTGTGTCCTTTTCTTTAATTATGGTTTCATTCCTTGGTTGACTTTTTTCAGAACACAGCAAGTGTGTGCTATGGTTTCCAATGATGTTTCTTAATTTAACTCCAGCACACATTATTGCAATCAAGAAGAAATCCTCACAGGCATTCGTGGCCAGACTTGGGTTTTGGTTTTGATAAGAGTTTTTGTATGTTCTTATTTTTTCCTGCATTTTTGGTATTTAGGGAAACAAACAGGCAGAAATGACTTGACGAGTGCAAATACCATGATTATCATGGCAGAGAAAGACTTAGGTTTATTGTCTTTGAGCTGAGAATTTTTGGACCAATCAGGTTGGTTAAAGATGTAGACTTGTAGGAGGAACAGGGAAAAGCTCATTAATAGTTAAACATAAAATAGATAACACTGCCAGGTATCTGTCAGCTCTCTCCTGTCCATGTAAGTATTAATGGAATTCAAGTCATAAGGGGTAAAAAGAAGATAATCAGAAATCTCTCTGACTATGCTCCGAATTTGAGGGTTTCATTTTAATGATGTATCTACATATACAACTGTGATTGACACAAGGCTACAAAAAGACTTCTATATTTTAAAAGTACATAAAGATTCAGATTTTAAATATATTCGTGACAAAAATATATGAGATCTATTAAGTTTCCTGCATATAAAATTTTACTATATTGCACTGATCTGCTGGCTGAGAAAGAAAAGCCAATTTGCATGGCTCCTGTCAGTCACATGTGGTTTGGAAATGCTTATGCATTCCAGATACACTCTGTGTAAACTGGAGAATCAGATCCTATTTCCACTGGTTTGCGTGCATGCATATAAAACTTGTTTTTCCCACAGTGCCACATGAACATAAGTGAAGAACTACCAGCGGTGATCATAATTAATCAACTTCTTTGTTGAAGTTTCACAACTACTATGGTGAGGGGAATTCTTGGGCCTCACGTTTAAAGAGGCTGTGACTACAACTTTATTGGTTTGCTTCTTTAGTTCTGTTCCAGGGAGCAATTAAAGTCAGCAACAGTCTCTCAACACACAGTTCCTGATACCTACTATGTGCCAGCGTCTCTGCTAGGTACTGAGAATTACTGAGCAGAGCTCCCGCTATAGGGAGCTCAGAGTTTAATAGAAAAGAACAAGAACTAAATAATTAGTTACCGCCCAATGTGACAGTGACTTTTATAGAATTTGGGTTACGTATTGTGTCCTTTGGAAACAGTGAGAGTTTCCTAAAACTTCACAGAGGTGAACCCTGTTGGTGGATCATGAGTTGAAGTGAAGAAGGACTGGAAGGCATTCAAGAAAGTAGGAACATTATGTGCAAAGCTCATAAAGAACACATGTTTCAGGGACCTGAAAGAAATTTTGTATGGCTTAAGGCCAGAGTTAGAAATAGTAGAGGAAATAATTTGAAAATACATGGGGGAGAGGCAATAATTCTAATAAAGAATGCTATTTTAACAGTCTACATTTTTGTGTTACTGTTTGGAGTTATTTGCTCACTAGGAACATTTTTAAGTCGCAGATGAAGTAGCTAATGTCATAATGTACAGTATGCAGACTTTTCTCCCCTCCTGGCACTTATGCCACAGTGTACCTGGTACACAGTTGGTATACAATGAGCATAAACTACTATTACTGTAAGTGGTAGATAGCTCCTAATATGGTTCCCAGTGATGTATGTCCTTATGCAAACCCTTTCCCTTCAGTATTGACTGGACTTACTGACTCTTGCTAATGAATAGACTGTCACTCCCAACATTATGTTATTAAAAGACTGTGGCTTCCCTCTGGGGCACTGTATCATGTACCCAATACACCTTCTCTGACTCACTTTTTCTTCTGTGTCATTAGCTGCCATGTCTAAGACACTCAATATAAAAAGAGGCCCCTGTGTCAAGAAACTGAATCATGCCTATCTGAACATGTCCACTGCCTATACCTATGGGAGTGAGCTTGGTCATGGATCTTCTGAAGCTGCTAATAGCTATGTAAGTGAGCATAGAAGCAAGCTTTCCAACTTCTCTCAAGCCTTAGTAACTGTAGCTGTGCCCAACGGCTTGACTGCCAGCTCAGAAGAGACCCTAAGCCAGAGGCACCCAGCTGAGCTGCATCTAGATTCCTCACCCAAAGAAACTGTGACATAATGTTGGTTGTATTAAGCCACTAAAATTTTCTTTGATTTGCTGTAGAGAAATGCATAACTTACATACTCTACTAGAACTGTGTAACCCCTGTCCCTTTGGGGACTGGGTTTCTGTAACCTCAGTTGGGAATGGTGGCATTTGACTTCATCCTTGGTGATGGAGCACCACCTGGAACCTCAGCTTTTGTGACTAGAATCCTGATCTCCTGATCCCTAGTAATAAAGAAGTGATCTCAGCTCCCACGTTCTAAGGCAGTGAATTTTGTTATCTTTAGTTTTACCCACTTGATTAGACTATTGACAGAATAATTCTCTCCCAATTGTAATACAGATTGTTGAGTTTGGTATGCTTTCCATCCCTGATCTTGGGCACACCAACACAGTGAAGTACACTTCTTGTATTATCTGCTTCTAGGAATCCAGTCACCCTCATATATCTAGATGATGACAATCACAGATGCCCAGAGAAAGACACATGTAGCTTATATATTGCCTATTTTCAGGTATAACCCTAAATGATTTTGTGACATGCCTTAGTGGTAATTGGTAAACTTGCTGTCTACACTGTCCAGGTGGGAGCAAGTGGAAAAATATACATTGCTCAGGGAACATTGAGTTTTTGGCAAAGAATTTTTGGCAGTTTATATAACAATGTTGATTTGAAGTCAGTGGTTTTATATGTAAAAAAGATGTTAAGACCTTGTAAAGATGTTAAATATTTACATAAAATTATGCTCAGCTAAGGAAAGAAGAGCAAAATGTAAAAACCCAGTGTGCCTTCCACAAGTTATTCTTTGCTTATTTCCTAGGACTTTTTAGTGGGTCCTAAATTCATTTTTCAATTAATGATAAAGCAACCACAATAGATACAATACTATACAACAGATGCAATCTAAATGACAGCAGCATATTACAACCACAATAAAAGGGAAGAACGGAAGAAAGGGGACTTTGTACCTCTGTCCCTGATGATTTTGCCTCTCATGCTCTGCAATGCAGTTATGGGGAGCTGAAGGACTGATGTGGGAGGATGTCCTTAGAGCCACTGCTGAGATGCCCACCAAAGGGGATGAGAAATTCAGCAGCACAGAGGTGGTACAGTGGGAGAGGACATTTGCATGAAGGGTCACGTTGATAACCAGTGGGTTCTGCTGGCATGACAGTTCATGGGTTCCTGAAGATAAGTGAAAAGATGGATTAACATTTCAAGCTATTCATCTAGCACCAGGTTTCCATATCTATTTTACTATTTTATTCTCTCCAGAGCTATGTGATACAGGCCAGATCCCAAACAATATCAGAAATAGACATCAAACTGACTCTTGGATCTACTGCTGTCCTCTAGTGGTTCTAAAGGAATCATCCTCAGACTCACCAAGAGAGTGGTTGCTTCCACTGACATCGGTCAGGTACAGAGTTACTGTTGGCCGCTGATGCTTCCCAGGGCCCAGGCCATCAGATGTCAAGAAAATGAAAACTGCTGTGGCAACTCCAGGTCTACTAAAACACACCTAGGCAAAGCACATATACGTACGAGCCATTATTTTCATAAGCAGTCAAGGAATGTGCCACACCACGTCTGTTCTCAGATAGCTCACTGTTAACAAGTGGGAAAAATATGGGAGTAGGCACAGAAAAGTGTTCAAGGTCGCACCAAAAATCATAAGAGGGACAGAAGATTTTTCAACTACCAAGTAGGTTATCTTTTTTTCTGAAACTGCTTAGTGCACTGTTTTTGCTTTTATATTTCTTTTTCAACTTGTACCTGTCTTTCTTTACGTTTCTCAAAAAGATCCCTTGGAGAACATTGCTGTTGACGCTAATCCTCCACAAAGCCGGTGAACATATCATTTTCACTAAGGAGAGAGAAGTGGACGAGATGACCAGTGAGCCAATATATAAGTTAACAGACCAAGTCGTTCTGAAGTTCTGAACTGCCACACCTACTTAAGCCTCTCCATTTCCCTATTTACATCCCCCTAATTTTCTCAGAATTTGTCACTTAACATGTGAATTGCAACATGGGAGAGGGGCTACTGCAGAATCTGTTGCTTCTGAAATTGAAACTTGAAAAACTGCTTCATTTTTATGCAGTTTTTCTGGTGCCCCAAGCTTATATATTTTGTCACTGGGTGGAAAACAAGTGAAGCTGAAGGCACAGGAACATTCCGTTATTTATAAGGAATATTCTAGGATGTTTAGGCTGATTATACTACATCATATATTCAAAATAGACTGTGAAAACTTTGTCTCCAGGAACATTTTAATAGAAAAAAATCATAGAGTTCAAGAATGAAATGCAGCCTTCCTCCTAACCACTGCTAAAAGTTCAATGTTTCTTTCCATACTGGACTTACATGATGTTACAGTTTACTTTGGTTTGATTTCCTAGAGCTTAGCATTACCCCTACTTTTTGTCCCCAACTTTCCCTAGTGTTGTATCTGAGATTTATGATTAGAACCTGGACCTTACAAAGCCCTATGTAAATTTTTCTGGATTTTTATCAGGATTGAAGGGTGGTGTGGCCCCAGGAAATGTATTCTCAGTGTAAAAGCACAGCAAAACATCTAATGGCAGTGACCACCTCTAAAGTGGGGAGTGGCAGAGTAAAATACGTTTTCTATTTTAATGAAAATTCTTTCTCATCCACAGACTGGTGTTTCCTGAGTCTTGGCAGTGTGTTTATAGAGTGTCCATTTGCACTGCTGGCTTAATTAGGGTGATTTAGGGTTTACAGTGATCAGGGTGGTACAGCTCTCCTGTCTCCCCTCCTTTGAGGGACGGGCTAGACACACTTTTTACAGTATCTGCTCCCCTTATTTTTTCATTTCTCCTCTTTGAAGTAATAAACATTCCTTCATAACTTAAGAAACATCCAGACCCATAGGTTACAGAGCCCAATATGAAGTCCTCGGTCCCCGGCTGGGTGCGGGCTAGACATGAAACACATCCTAAGGAAACGAAAAGCCAAACTCAAAGCTCTGGACTCTAGTGGCAAATGACATCAAAGCCTTCTGGGAACTCCCATAACCTCTCCCTTTTCATACACCACAAAAGAGAGCTGAGCACTGAAAGACAGTTCTGGGTCATTTCCTGAGCCAGGAACAGAGTCCAAACAAGTACCTGGTGGCTTTACTTCAATGGGCCTCAGACCTGAAGTGCGGGGTGGCTTTAACAAGGAACAGAAGAGCTCAGTCTTCCATCTTCTGCTGGGCCCCAAAATAGACACCACCTACCTGAAGTTAGTTAGTAGAGGCAGTTTTGACGATGTGGGCCTCTCCATCCTGAGGGCCCATGCCCAGAGTTTCCAACTCACTTTGTAATTCTTAGCAATATACCCCTTTGTTCTTAAGCTCCCTAAATACAAAATCACTTCTAAATGTAAAGGCTGCTTCTTCTGAGCAGAGTCATGGTGCCATGATTTGTGGGGAAATGTTATATCAGGATTTTCAGGCCAGAGGTTAAGTAGGAAAAACATAGGTAAGATTTACAAAGATCACACAGGCAGGGGAACATTGGTCTGCATGAAGCAAAGAGAAACAAAGGATCAAGTTATGGGGCGCTGAGTCTTGGGCATATCCTCTCACAGTGACATGGGAAAGGTAGCCATGTTTCGTTTTCACGCGACTTTCAAGTATACCCCACAGCAGCAACTAGAAGCACAAGAAAGTATAAATTCTCTCACACAACTACTATATCGCCACCTCAAGGGCAGAGACTAGTCAAAATCTGTGCATATGTGCATTAGCAGTCTCAGCAGGAGTAAGGGAAACTATCTAAATTCATTGTGTGATAGAGTTGGCTGGGCAGAAGCTCTGGGTTTGGCGCTTTGATCAATCTTCACTACGTAGTTAAGCCCAAGCAATCCATCTCTCCTGTCAGAACTGGAACCTGGGTTTCTCTTTCTTATAACTGAGAATAAAGATAATGTCTATCTCACATGGTTACTGTGATGATTAAATGAAGTCACATGAGGGGAAAAGGGACAGTGCTTATTATACAGTAAAGATTCAGTGTTCAATAATTCCTATTTCCCCAAAGAAATACTTTTAATATAGTTTGCAACATAGAAAGAAACAATGAAAAAAATATAATTTTAAGGTAAAATGTATACTTTTATGTTCTGATATATAAAGAGAATTATCCTTTTCTGAAACTTATGGGCTGAAATGTTAAATATACTTTTCAAAATTGATGCTTGCAGAAATGTGAAGTGGTGCTCTAGATTCTGGTTTCATAGAAACTGTCAACATTTGAGATTCTTGGTATATTATGTATTTCTACTTTAAGAATGGAATCTATAAAAATATAGTCATTCCTTTATACTCGACTGCTTTGAAACTCTTTGAATTTGGTACTCAATGCATTTGGATGGTAAAATTCTGTCCTGGTACTCATCATTTGTTTGGTGCTCAAATGCAAGATAGAACCTGTTGGTTTCATTCACCTTGTGACTCATAGTACCCTTTCCAGGCAAAAAAATTTGCTTAATTTACTCAATATTTTTGCTACTTCTCACACCTCCAAGAACCAATTAATGAGTACTGAGGCACCATTGTACAGTTTTATACATAGATCTTTTAATAGATTTTTTTTTAAGAAAATTCAGTTTAACATGCCCCAAGAGAAAGATCCAAAATGCTGGAAAGTCAAAAGCATTGTTAGTTTTATCTGTAACATTTTACTATTTGCTTTAATAGGGGATTACATTCCCATATTACATAGGCAATATAAAGTTAATTTAACATGTCCTCTACAAGGAAGAAAAACTATAGCTAGATCTCAAGAAAGGGAGAGTCTTTTAGAATATTGAAATGTCTAAGAAATGGTCCCAAGTTAGGATTGCCAGTGAAATTAATTCATTGTATGCATCACAAAGTACTTCACAATAAAGAGAAAATACAGAACTGACAGATGACAGATATATAGAGGAAAAACAGGGATATGTGGTCAGATTGATAGATACATAGATAGATGATAGATAGATAGAAATACATGATAGAAATATAGACAGATGATAGAGATACATGATAGTGATGGAGATGAATAGAGGATAGATCAATTAATCAAGTGATATAGATATAGATATAGATATAGATATAGATGATATAGATATAGATATAGATAGGTAGATATTTAAGTACTGACACACAGTGGAGGTGAGCCAGCCCCACACATTGAGCTGCTTTTTCATTCAAAGGCTACACATTAACTCCTCGATCTAACTGCTGGCCACGGGTGAAGAATAAAATTGAAAGAATGTGTCTCTAATGAAGAATTGTTCAGGCTTAAGAAATCCCTGTCCAGTCTGCCCTCTGGGCTCCAACACACTCGTCATGCTCCCAAGCCAAGCGTTTCAACTTCCAGGTCACCCTGTGTGGTGGTCACCAACAGCAGACCCTGAAACTGTACCACAAACTTGAAAAGAATCCTCTCTGAGGTTTCAAAATGTTTTTGGTTAGTTATGTGTTACTGTGTTTTTGTGCCTATCTCTTTTCACATCTATGGCATCTACCAATTCTAGAGGGAAGCGGAAGTCCTCAGCCAGGAGAAGGCACGTCAGCAGCACCTTAGGTGTGCACCCATCATGTGATGGCGCACTTGGCCGGAGCCTCTGCCACACCAACTGGAGTTCTAGTCCTACTTGAGAGTTTTTAAGTATAGCATCCTCCGGATACAAAAATTTTAATTATGGAAGTGGAAACAAAGCTTGTAAGAGCTGGTGGCTTCCCCCAGGCAAATGCTAGAGAGGAGGGCACTCACATTTTCCCACTTTAAGATCTGTATCCTTTTGATTGCTTCAGTGTCCTTACTTGAAGATGAGTGGAGAATCATAGATTCCTTAGAAAATGTATTGACCTTTGGGACTCTTCTGTTCCCCCAAAATGAAGTCACGTAAACACTTAGCCAGAAAAGTTGTGTATAATTTTAGAGAGCTGAGAAAATCTTTAAGAGTCATTTATGGTTTAATTAAGGTCAACAGAAACCAAAATAAGAATACCTGTACTATTGGTTGAGCCATTTGCATTTATAATAGGGGAAAATTATCAACTGTTGGCAATTTTATGTGGCTCAAGCTAATAATACTATGTAGACTTCAGAGATTTTGGCAAGGCAGAGATGAACTTCCAAAGTTTCAAGGGATCTCTCCTGAAGCCCAAATCTAATAGACAAAGGGAGAGTGTAAAACAACTGACCTCTTCTCAGTTAATTATTTTGATTGTTACTATACGTGAACGTGTGAGTCACAATAGAGGCAATAGAGGCAATAGAGGTGGAGGTGAGCCTCATGTAACTTCTTCCTCAGGTTCAACCCTTTTGGTATAGGTCAAAGCCCACATGATTTCCTGTTTTATTGTTTCATAGTAAAAGTAAGGCCATAAACATCATGGGTTTATGTGGGTCTTTTCTTCAAAAGAATAAGGCCAACTTGAAATTTTGAGGAATGAAGAAGAAACCTCACTTGAAGTGTGGCCCCCACTGTCTAAAGACAGATGTTCAAAAATGTAT